CAGAAGCTTAATCCATTTGAAGGTTTTGCACATGGTGAAAATTAATTATATTCACGAAGTACTTTTAAGTGAATGAAATACATGTCTTCAAAATTTAACTATTTTGAACCCAAAAAGACAATGCGACATTCCCTAAAATCAACCCACTACACATTTAAACATTGCACAAAATTATTTGAGTGTTTCAAAGGCAGAAGAATGATGTGGTTTTGCATGCGAGGCTCTCAAACTTGCTTACTAAAATGGTGTGTCAAATGACGATTTTAACGGAATTTGGTAATTTGCCTATTTCTTTGAAATAAAAGGATATTTTGCCAAAAAAACTATAGAGTAGTTTTTGTCATGCCCTAGCCTATCTACCATAAGAATGTGAGCGAAATCGAATTTTTGACCCTTGCCGCGAAATTAAGAATTTGTCTGATTTTTACAGGCAGGCACTCTTAAATCAAAAAAACTATCTGTGCTCTATTGTAACGGCCTACTGCTTAAAGGGGAAGTGCAACAAAGCACAAGATAATTTTATTTTGTTAGTATGTGACTTGTTACCCATTCTGAACCACAATCGTGACTTAAACCATCTTGGTAATGAGTGTAAATTAAAAGTCTTGTGCAGTTACTGTGTACTTTGTATCTCACAATTTCTTTGCTACGAATTCCTCTCTAAAAGGCAACTTTCCATCTGACATGTCATCGAAATCAACCTCAAACCCAGCAAGATCCTTATCGTTGGTGAATGCATTGTCAGCTTGTTGTCTGAGTACATGGCTGCCACCAAATCACCGGCAGTGGTCAGCAGTAGAACTAGTAAAGACACTGGCCAGTGCAACAAAAAGCAAGGGAAGGAACCAGGCACTAGACACCTGTATCTCTGCAGATTTACAAGGTACCTCTCTCTACCATGGAATCTGGCATGCCCTTTTGATTTGTTTGTTTGAGTTTATTGTGTGTGTTTATTTTTAGTCATTTCCACATTAATGACTTTGGAAGTGCAGGTCTCCTTTAAATGAATGCAATACTCTTGTCTTTGCCCCATGATGGACTCTTTTTATATTGTGGTGAAGACAACCTGAAACATGCCACACAGTATATTCAAGCTTCTGTGTCGTAAGGGTTAATACATGTAGCTTGGGTGGTACAGTTTGTTAATATTGATTTTGGGTTGGCATTGCACTGTAGTACTTGTAAATTGCTTAATAAGGTATTTCATTGTGTTCTTTACACATTGCACTACAATGTTGCTAGAGGAGTTATTTAAAGCAGGCATTGGTGTCTTGTGTTGTACATTCTTCAGTGTAATACCACTTTGTATTTACATTGTTAATACATGTGCAAAGAAGTTGTAAAACAACAACATGGATGTACCTCATTTTATTTCATTATCAGGAGACATTCCTTGTTGTCCATTAAAGCAATTCAAAGCTCACAAAAACCAGGTTTGTATTTTTTCTGAGCTGCATTTAACAGGAAAGTTGCTGTCTGCTAAATGTAAAGTGCTAAATATTCCCAGTTTTGTAACAATTGGCTATTCCCTTTGCTATACTTGACAAGTTCTTTTGTGTAATAGCAATAATATTAGGTAAGAGATGTAACTGTATTCCTCGGTTCACTATTGTTGTCATGAGACAAAGAATTGGTTGATGGGTAATAGCATAGCATAGCTATTGCCATCATTGTAGGTTGCTGGCAACATTTAAATCTAAGCTAAAGACTTTTCTTTTTAAACATATTTTTGGAATTCCTTAACTTAATGATTTGAATATTTACTTTTTATCTATTTATGATTTCAATTATTTACATATTATTTTATAAGGAAATTGTACAGCACTGCTGGATGTTCAGAAGCATGCTCTATATAGAATATTATTATTATTATTATTATTATTATTATTATTATTATTATTATTATTATCGTATCCATAACAAAATTATCGATCGTGACTGGTTCTCCGCACACATATTTCTCCCGTAATCGGCTCGCAATCATGTTGGTGTCCAATTACAGGTATCCAATTTCAACTTTTTGTAATTGGATACCTGTAATTGGAAACCCACGGGCTAAGCATGTCAATTACGTGCGCTTTAATGGCTTCCTTCACACTGTTTCCCACAGTTTTCAAAGCTTGTGAAAAGTGCTACAGACATTTTCGCTCAAAAGAAGTTCTCAAAAGACATTTTTAATTCTGAAATTTGTTATACATGTAGATACAATTAATTAGTAATTGGACATCCTGTTGTACAATTCAAGGAGTAATTGTGCTCGTTATTTCAAATCGGCCTTGTGCTTTGCGCTCGTGCAATTTTGAAATTATTCGCACAGTTACTCCCTGAATTGTACAACACAATGTCCAATTACTATTACTGATGATTATGATTATGATTATAGCTAACGTTTTACCTTTTTTTTAAACATTTTTTTAACTAACCATTTACCTAAATTTTGAAAATACTTAAAACTGCTGGCTGCTTTACTTCAAAAAACATCTTGAAAAGCCTTTAAATTTATTCTAGTTATGTGTAAGACTTCTATGGTTTATTTGAAGGTTACCTCTTGTGTATGGAATGCAAATAAACAGTTGTTAGCAACAAGGTATGTTGATCTTTTCTAAATGAAGTAGAGATGAGTTTACTTACAGCCAGAATTATTTCATTTAACCTGACTTGCTCAAAACCAAGATTAATCCATATACAGCTTTTTCGACAAAGGTTGTCCCACACAAGCGTAAAAGTGAATGCGACAGTGCCAATTGTTATTATGTCAATTATGGGTTGTAATAGTTTGGCATTCCTTGTATGAGGTTAACACTGCTTCAAGAAGAAAAAGCATAAGTATACATGTTTGTGCTGTGTCGTTCTGTTATGATGAAATGCCTTTAGCCTCAATCAAGCAACCGTTGGTCACCATTACCCATAATACCTTTCGACATTGTTGTGTACGCTTTTGCACTTTCGTAGGACAACCTTTCTTAAACAGCTGTAGACAATTCATAAATTGAAGGGGTGAGTGCAAAACCATGCTAAGTGTCGATTTATATAATCTCCCAATGTTTCAGCGACCTCATGACACCATTATCAAGGGAACAAATGAGAATTAAATTAACAAATGCGAGTTCAAGAGTTATAACTAATTTACATAGCGGAGGTGGCTACACAAATACTTTAGCACGGATAGAATCTGT